CACATTTGGGATTGTAGACGATGAATCCTTTGGGTTCTGGAGGCTGCATGGTGGAGCCTTTCTGGATCTGGTTTGGTTCTGAGGAGTCTGGAGGCCCAGTTATACCACCAGAGACTCCTCCTGATCAGCTGTGTTTGGTTTCTACCGATGCTGAGGAGGGCTTAACGTCCACACCGGCGCAGGATCCATCGTTTCCCTGCAGAACTTGGCTTTGCAACGAGACGATCGGTGTCTTCATTTCGGTTGTTTTGTGTGTTTTTGCGACAGTTTTGTTGTTTTGTCTCGTACTTTTTGTCTCTCTTTGTGTCGTTTCTGCCTCTTTGCGGTCGTTTTTTCTCCAGATATTTGAGCCGCGAAGCCTCGTTTGACGACAGAATCGTTCCTCCTGAGCGGCTCGTGAGCAAACGCCACCCGGAGCTCGTTTCTTTGTCCAAGTTTCCGAACTCCACTCGTCCGCCGGGAAGCATCTCGTCTCCGGGGAGTCCGCCGTCGCTTCGTTCCTCCTCCGAGCATGACGGACTCCAGCCTCCAGCTCCTTTCTAGCAGTAATCCCTCGTGTTCGGGGGTCGCTTCCTGCAGAGAAACCTGCTGTATTTCTGAGACACGGTTCAGCCTGAATCATTCAGAGCTTCAGAAACCGCCCGCCGTGGTCCGGCCTCCTCGCTCCGTTCTATTTCCATCAGCTCCTTGACTGGCAGGTTTTTATTTCAGACGATACTGAATCGCTTCAGGCCCAGACAGGACGCTCTGACGGGCTCTTAGAAGCGTCTTTCTCTGGAATCAGCAGTTATTTATATCCAAACATGACACTGTCTCTCCTCACATCTCACTTCTGTCGCCAGAGTGACTTGTTTAAAGGTCTTTTTTTTCTTTCTTGGTTTTAAAACTCGACTGTTTGCTCGCGCTGATCTGAATCACGGCTCCCGTTTGGTTAAACATGACTCATATCTGCTTTTAATTTACATTTAATCACTTTTGTTGGCGTCTTTTCTTGACTTTAGCGACACGAGAGACGCCTGTTTGCTCTGCAGATAATTGGATTTACCTTCTGAAATTACGGAGAAGAAGAAGAAGAAGGTTGGACTGAAACAGAAGCTGAAAGCAAATTTAAAACGAGAGATAAAGTCGAGAGGAAGGAGGTGAAGATGGAACCTCGCTGTGTGGAAGAGAAACGGTGCTAAAAGTAAAATAACAGTAAAACTATGTGGACGCTGGAGTCGCTTTTCCATCATTCGGACCTCTTACAACCCGTGTTCTGCTGGTTTTAGGGTCGACTAGAATAAATTCACATCCTGTCATGCGTATATTTTTATCTTCTATCGTACACTGCTGCAGCATTTCTTTTGTTTTGGGCTCATTTTTACTCACTGTGAGCTCATTTCTTACTAAAAAACAACCACGACGAAGAAGAAAACACTCAGAAACGTCTTCTGTGCAGCAGTCAGATCGGCAGAAATCACAGAAATAAAGTTGAGTTTCTTTGATTATTTATTTTGCAGGAATTGAACAAACCAGGACTGAACACGTGCAGCATTTCTCCAACAGTCCACAGGTTTTATCAACACTGAGAAAGAACAGAAACAGAAGCTCTGCAGTCTGTATATTTGACTGTTTGCATTTTTAATCTGAAAACTTTTTGTCGATGCGTCTCGTGGCTTCATTTCTCGTGTTTAACAGGATCTGACGATAACAAACTGTTTAATTTTTGCACATTTTTAGACACGCAGAATAAAAGCGATTTTGACGATATTTTGCGATTTTAAACCGAGATTTGGTTCGAAATCAAAATAACTGATCGTGTGATTTTCAGAAAATATAAAAATTTAAGCTTAATTTTATTAAAACGTCCTGATGGAACCGTGGGTCACACGTGATGAGATGAAGGAAAGTTAAAAATCCAACATTTTTAATGTATTTTTTTCTGTTTTTACAGTTTCTGACTCTGACAAATGATGAAAGTTTTGTTATAAAATGAGATGCGTTTGAGATTTTATGCTTAGATTTGGTTAATTTTCCAGATTAATTAAAAACCAACACGTGATGACTTCCTGTAACATCAGAAAGGTGAAAATCCAACAAATTATTCAGTTTTAACAGTTTGTGGTTCGGGTAAATTGTGTAATTTTGGTGAATTTTTAAATCAGTAACTTACATTTCCATCCTGCCGACTGGTTTTGGAGTCCAGAAAGTTGATCCTGATTGAATGTTTAAGTGCTCAAAACAAAAATTCAGGTTTTCTTGGATTAAAATAATGCTGAGGCATCGCTTTAGCAGCTTCACAGCCTCAGAATAACACATTTTAATGAGTGTAAGTTAGAGTTTGCTGCGTTCATTCATAATAATCAGTAAAATGTTCGTTTCCTCTGCAAAAAAGGGAGAAGACACAAAATCATTCCTATACTTATCATTTCTGTTTTTATATTGTATTTACACTTTCATTAAACTTATTTTTATGATTTATGTCTCTAGGATCTGATACGAAACTTTGCCAGTCGCCGTGACAACCGCCTCCGAAACCCTAAAAAAGAAAAATGATCATAAAATAAACAAAGAAATTAGCACAAGCATCAGATGAGCTCGTTTTGGATGTTCTTTTGCACTTTGCTTTAACCGTACCACGCCTGAGCTACTGGATAGGTTGAATTTCCCCAACAGGACGAATAAATGAAGCGTCCATCGTCCGTCCAGGAGTCGAACAAAGAGGCTGAAACAGACGAGCGGGTTACGGGAGGACACGGAAAGGCAGGAAACAAAGGCAGAACTCTGGTTTCTGGGCCGAGCCGCCTGTATTCCCCGTCCACCTGCTGCGCTCTCTGATATCAACCACAAAAAAATCAGAGTGGAAATATGATTTTCCGCTCATCAGTCATGCAGACTTAAGCCCACCTCGCCGCCCTTTGCTCACGGCGCCGCTCGCTCGGTCGCGGACGAGCGCCTCCGCCATTCAGCCAGCCGGGGCATCGCTGGCCCAAACGCCGGCTCGCACAATGAGCGGCGCCGAGCTTCACTGACACCCGATTACCAGCCTTTGTGAGCGGATAACGGATAATTCCTGCTCCCCGTCGGCCGGCCGGACGGACAGCCAGGTGGAACCGCCAAAGTTCACCTGAGTTAACTTTTAAAGGGACGTTCTGCTGCTTTCACATGTTCAGGAAAAGAACGAAACGCTCCTCGTTAGCTGGAGGTGACGAGTTCTGTCTCTGAAAACCACAGTCCTGTACAGCTGACCTGCTTCCTGTCCTGTTTTCATCGATTCATGTTCGAGTGTTAAACGAATCGACGGCTCTTCTGATAAGTTATTTTTAGGGAAAAAAAGCCTAAAATCTCTGATTCCAGCTTCTTCAATGTGAATATTTTCCTCCTCTACGGCTGTAGACTGAGTATCTTTGAGTTGTGGATATAATTTGACATTTAAGGGACATTTTTCTGACATTTTCGAGACCAAACAACGAACAGACCAATCCAGAAGAAAGTTGAAAGAACATTTAATAACGACATTAGTTGTTAATTGCAGCTGTGGTTTTGATGGAAACACGTTTCTGATCAACGCGTCGTCAACAAACTTTTCAACAAACTGATCCTCGAAAACACTCAAAAAACTAAAACAAGAAACTTTGATCCACCACCTGGTTAAACGCATAACAGCAAGAAAACAAAATCTAATTTACAGATTAACTTTGTCAGTTGTAAGTTTTATTTTGAAGGCTTGTGTCGGTTGCATCGACTTCATATTGTGGAAAATCTGAACTCAACTTCCTGCGCTAGTTGGCTAAAGCTAAGCTAAACTCAAGTTGAAGTAACTCAGTGAAACTAAGTTTTCTGGACCATGAGGTCAGCATTTCACGTCTCTTCCCTTTTAAGCAACTTTGACATTTAATTTAAAAAACAAACATGTGTTAGTTGGAGCAACTTCATTTCTTTGGAAAAATGAACCTAAAAACACGAGTTCATAAAACAAATCATTAAAAATCAGTGCTGCATCGTGCAAAGGTTGTAAAAATGGAAATACGTAAAAATTTTCCGAATACAGACACAAAACTGTGACAAAGACGTGTGAACAGAAATCAGATATAAAATGTTTTGCTGAGTTTGTAAAAGTTTTAAAAATATAAATAAGTAAAAATCTTTTGAATTTCGACACAAAACTGTTGCAAAGAGAAAAAAAAATGATAAAGATGAAACAAAACAACCACCAGGAGACACGGAATTAGTTTTATTTCAATTTATGTTAATTAATAATCGAAGAAATTCAACTTTCTTTTATTTTTTAATGATCCCAGTCGCTGTGTTTGGAGTTCAGGGTTCAGTTCCTACAAACATCCACAGTGTCAACAAACCAAAAAACTAACTTTCAGGAGTTGTTGTCTCGAAGAAACTCGGCACAAAATGAGCTTCTTCTTTTTTTCCCTCATTTCTTGTCTTAAAATTGCTGTTTTTCTTCAAATAAACGCGTCATTGAAAGCAGCACAGGACTCACAGCTCAGTCTGGATGTGTTCGTCGATATCTCCTCCTAAGTTCGGTTTCTTCTCCTACAAACTGTAGTTTGACATAAATGTGCTGCATCTGTTCAGGGAGATGTTTCAGCTCCAGTCGGAGGCTTTCTGGCCTCCAACAATGCCTGGCTGCCGCCGCCGCCGCCGAAACAATACATCCATTAATGAGTCCAAAAATTGCCGGAATAATTGAGAACAGGGAGGGCGGCGAGGTCAACCTCCTCCTCCTCCGAACTCATTGGCGAGGGTTCGTCCACCTGCGAGCGCTCGGATTTCTGCAACAACAGCTGATTAAAAACCACTTTTTTTTTTTCCAGAGGTTTTAATGATAACGCGTTGAAACGCTGGAAAGCCCTCGGAAAAGAAAAAACCCAGCGGGGATGAAACGGCAGGATTTGACGGTGAAAGTGTGCAGAAGTGGCTCTCATCATGTGAGGAGCAGCTGAAGAGAGGATTTGACCGTTTTCTTATCGTTTCCCCAAAAGACATCTCAGCACTTCTCTGTAATTGTTTCACGTCTTGATGTAGCTCCGAGGCAGAAAGCGATCGACCCGACTCGGCAGGATTCTTAACGAAACCGGGCCTCCGCTGTTTCATCTGTGTGTATTTAACAGGAATTATAGCGGAGCGGCACCTTCGCCGTGACACTGTTTTTAATGCTAATGCAGTTTTTAAAAGGAAAAAAAAAAAAAAAAAGCAGAAAGCACAGCGGCTTCCGGAGACGAAGTAATTGGAGAAGCGGCTGAATGAAAAGAAGCGTCGAGGTTCGCGGAGAGATGAAGTGTAAGAGCAGAGCTGCAGGAAGAATAATTGGTTTAGAAAAAGATGAACCAGGTCTGGATGGAAAAATAGCAAAACAGCAGCGTTGTGTATGTGGGAGGCAGATTGTACAAGATAACGGTGAGCCGCTGCAGAGCCGACAGACTGGAGGGCCATTATTTCAAGATCACAACTCTATCGTGTTATTGTCTTGGCAATGGATGGAGTTTGCATTGTGGGTTTTTTTTTTACAGCCTTTTCTGTCCCAAAAATGAATGTATGTAACTTTATTGTCAGTTTGAACAGATAACATCAGCTGCAGTCCCCACAGGAGGACACTACAGCGCCGGTCATTTGTTAAAAACACCTACACATGTCTTTTCTAACCACTGAATTCACCCATCAGGGGCAAAAAGGTGATGATGTTGTGATGTTATGGAGCCATGAAACCCTCTGCAGGTTATTTATTACCCCAACTGAAACTGCTTTGTGCTTAAAGTTAGCCAAAACAGATGAGGAAACGCTCCTAATGATGGATTTAATATTGATTTAAGTCGGCATCAGCTGGTGTATTTTTAGTTTTTATTTTATTAGTAATTTAAAAAGGCTTATATTCAATATTTGGCATATATTAAATATTATAAATTACCAGTAGATGATAGCAGCCATTCATTACTAGGCTACTAAATTAATACATATAACATTGTGTGATAACAGGAAACTGTCATTTCCAATCAGGACTGCTATAACTGAACACGTGTAACAGGAGTGATGACGTCGTGCTGCTACGATGTTCTTCTGGTCACTGAGATCAATGATCTCCTGCTGGTCTTCCCTGGTTTGTTCATTTTTGTCTATTCTGTCACTTTTATCATCCACTAAGAATTCATACCTCTGCCTGTACAATCCAATGCAGGGTGTATCTCTGTCTCGCTGTGTAAACAATCGCTGCAATTGGCTGCTACTCATGACGTGTAACAGCCAATCAGGTAGCGCCGTGGACTGAAGACCAGGGAGTGACTGCAGAGAGAGAGGCGTTTCTTTATTTTGTGATAATCGTCCGATAAAAAATAGAAATACTAGCTACAAAAAACAAAACAAAACAAGACACCAGAAATAGAAATCAATATTTGGTTGCACTGATAATCAGTCGATTGCTAATTTTTGTCTGTTCTGTCACTTTCATCATCCACTAAGAATTCATACCTCTGCCTGTACAATCCAACGCAGGGTGTATCTCTGTCTCGCTGTGTAAACAATCGCTGCGATTGGCTGCTACTTGTGACGTGTAACAGCCAATCAGGTAGCGCCGTGGGCTTGAGACCAGAGAGTGTCTGCAGAGAGAGAGGCCTAAGAGCCAAAGAGTGCATTTCTTTATTTTTGAGATAATCGGCTGCTAAAAAATAACGACACAGCTAAAAATAACCCACCATATGTAGATGTCAGTAACTGACTGCACTGATAATCAGCTGATTGCTAATGTTGAGGCTGCGATGAGCAAGAATGTGTGCTACAGCAGAACACAATTCATTTTGTAGAGGAGAGAGTCTAAAATACCACTTCTCAGACGTTTACAATGCAGTCTTCATATCCCCCCACCAGGCGGTTTTGTAATAGTTAAACCACCGATCAGGTGTTTGTGATGCAGTCTGGAGATCATTAGCAGCCCGTTAGCCAGCGTCACCACCAACACCTTGACTCAACCCTCCACAGGCTGCTTCACTGCCGTCATGCACCCGTTTCTAATCATTCAGACGTAATTATTCGCTTTACCCAAATTGTAAACTGTAGTTTTTCTGTTCTCTGTAGCACTGGGGGGTAAAACTGCAGCAGAAGAAGTTGACGCTCAACACCAAAGGAGCTGCAAAGCTCATTTTCACACTTTGGCTGAAATCTAAGCTCCAGTTTAACGGGACTAAGTTGATGAAGTAAAGCGCCAGCAGCGTTTCTACGGCGTTACATGATCTGAATGAGCAGATGGAGTTCGCTCAGTGTCCACAGAGCAGAACAGTTTAGTTCCCGACAACCAAATAAGACATTTTGTGCTAAGCTAAGACAGGAAGTGTCATCGGCCTGCAAGAAACAAAGGCAAACACAGACGGGAGCTGGTGCGTTTAAAGACCGTCGGCCTGTTCGGCGAGTCCTGGCTTGTCGTGGTCGTTTGCAGCCCTCGCTAACGGCTGTGTGTGGGTTTTTAACGAAGCCGAGGCAGCCGAGCAGCAGCAGACCAAAGACCTGACAATAAAACACACAGACAGAGAGGAAGATAGATAAATAAATAAAAAAAATCACCAACTTTCCCAGATTCTTCCCGCCAAACTTTAGCGATATCTCCGAGCCGCCTGGCAGCTTTTCTGGAAAACTGTGACACCTCTGAACAAATGATTAATAGCAGCCAGCCGACGTGTGAGCGCTCAGCGGGGAACGTTTTCCCGCCTCGATCGCTTAAGATGTGCTCACAGATAAGGATTTATTATTTTTCTTACTTTGGGTTTTTGCACTTTTTTTCTGCAGCTGACAGGTTTTGTGATGTGACGGCGTTCAGGTTTAATTCTCCGCAGCAGCTTCTTGTCACGAATCGCATCCAATAACACTCGTTTAACGTTCTTTTTTAGTTTCTTTTCATGTTTGTTGAATGGATTTTACTCTTTACTCTGCAAAAAGTGACAGTTTTTAACTAATCTTGTTGAGAAATGAGGAAAAAAGTTTATTTTTAATTACGTTCCCCTTCAAAAAGTTTTTTTTTTCCCCTTTGACCATAAAGTTCTGTTTTTACTGTATTTAAATCTGTTAAATATTATTTTTTGACATATATTTGGCTCTTTATTTAAAAGAGGAATTTATTAAGGTTTAAAATGTGATAATACTTGTTATGTGTTACGTTACAGATCGTCCTTGATTTGTTAAATTACAAATAATAAAGAATAAAATCACAAAATAAAGTAGATTTTTGTTGTTTGCTGACACAAATCTTTGATTTATGGAAAAATCTGACGCTAAACAGAACTGAAGCTGGTTTTATCCAGTGTTCACGCTTTTGTTTTGGAAATTAATGCAAATTAAGGCAGATTTAATTCTCTTATTCCGTCTCATTTGCACGTTTAACAACCTTTGAACCCCACAAACTGGCTGGCGGCTTTAAAAGACGCGCTCGTTTAAGAAATTACCAAAATTACACGATTTATTATGACAAGTAACTATGACAATGAGAAAAAAAACCCATCAGAGTTTCATCTTTCCAACAGTCCTTGAACTACTCGTGTGAAACTTCTAAGCTTCAAATTGAGATGTTTCATCTAAATCATTTAATTCTTTGTTTGTACATCCAATAAATAAACCGTCTACAACAACTAGAGTTTGTAAAAAACAAAACTTCGGCGCTCTTCTGTGCAACCGTGAAGCCTCGACCGACCAGCTGGTGGAGGATACGTCCAGCACGGTGAAGCATCTCCTAGAGCTCATGTGCCCGGTGCATTGTGGGAAAAAACTGACTTCCTAGAGGTTTTATAAATGCTAATAGTTTGTTTTTTGCAGCACGTGTGGATGTTGCAGGTGTCGATTCCAGGTTTTAAACATTTTGTAAAATGTATAATGAAAGAAATCAAACTTTTTATTATTATTATTATTGTTAATATTATTAATGGCACAATAATGGTCACTCTGAGGTCTCTTTGCTTCGTCTGAACAGCTCCACAGAGCTGCAGGACTTTCAGTGAAAAATGGAAGAAAAAAAAAAGGCACATAAGCAAGAAAACACCCAGAAACTGAGAATTAAAACATGAACTCGCTGTTCATATGTAGAGTTTCCTATTAAACTGTAAAACTAATTTAGTCGGTCAGAGCTCCACCAGAACCCCCAGCTCGTCCTAATCTGACTTTTTTTTCTCTAATCGATGCCTAATTACACACAAACCCACACTTTTCCAGCCGAGCGACTCTGGTTTCCTCCCGCCGTGGACGGACGATGCAGGAATCGGTTCTCTGGGAGTCATTCAGCTCCACGTCATTAATGGGATTTCCATTTTAGCGTCTGCCGGCTAATTGCGGCGACGCTTTCAGGTGAAATTGCTGCACGTCGGCCGCTGTGTTTGCGCCTCGGACGGCGAGATTACGGCGACCTGTTGGCGCTTCTGTTATTGCTTCTGTTCCAGTCTCAATTAAAAGTCAAGTAAACGAGGACGGACTGATTAAAAACTTTGCTTGTAAACGCAGAAACAGCCTCTGCAGGCAGGCAGGCAGGCAGCAGCTCTCCTCTGATTTAATTTCTTTTCTGAGCCTTTATACACTCGAAATTTATTCCAAAGTCGGCGCCTGAACGTTGAGAACCGACAGCCGGACGTGAACCTGAGCAGCTGTTTGCATTGAAACATCACTGTCAGAGTTATCGGCCAGTCTGATCAGGTCAAACAGCATTAGGCCGCCGTCTGGTTTGAGTCCTGACAGGAGGAAACCCACACTGTGTGCTCCCCTGATGAATAATTCCTCACACGGGCGGCTCGTCATTACATTCAAACCGTGAGCCGTAATACAAACCCTTCAAGAAGCAGCGTTTTCTGGTCGAAAGCAGCTGAACGAAAGACGTTCATCAGAAAAATGCAAACAGGGAATTTTAAAGCTTCCGTTCAGTGGAAATTCATTTTTATTGTGTTTTTAACTTGTAGATGTAAAAGACAGGAAGACTTCTGTCACAGCGAACTAACCAATAGTAGCTCAGACTCCGCATAGCCCCGCCCCCTTACTGCTTCCAGGTGAACCAATCAGAACGAGCCGTTGCCTCTCACTCCACCAGGTTTGTTTACTTCCTACAGCTGCTTCTACAAACTCTAAAAGTCCCTAAAAATAATCTGCTGTTGGCTGTAAGAGTGAACAGGAGAGTGTTCATGCACTGCCAGCATCTGAGCAACTAAACACCCAGCAGAGGACTGTTGTTGTGGATGGCAATGTCCCCACAGTTACAGGGAAATCCTTAATGTTAGCGCATTGTGCGGCTAATGTGGCTAACATTAGCTTTTATGGTGGTAGTAGTGGTAGCGGTAGTAATGTGGCTAACAATAGCTTTGATAGTGGTAGTATTAGCAGCAGTGATGGGGCTAACATTAGCTTTGGTAGTAGTAGTAGTAGCGATAATGTGGCTAACATTAGCTTTAATGATTGTAGTAGTAGTAGCAGTAGCAATGTGGCCAACATTAGCTTTGATGGTAGTTGTAGCGATAATGTGGCTAACATTAGCTTAGGTGGTAGTAGTATTAGCAGTAGTGATGTGGCTAACATTAACTTTAGTGTTCATAGTAGTAGGAGCAATAGCATTAGCAATAGTAATGTGGCTAACACTAGCTTTGATGTTGGTTGTAGTATTTGCAGTAATGATGTGACTAACATTAGCTTTGATGTTGGTTGTAGTAGGAGCAGTAGTGATGGGACTAACATTTGCTTTGGTGTTGGTAGTAGTAGCAGTAGTTATGGGGCTAACATTAGCTTCGATGTTGGTAGTAGTATTTGCAGTAGTGATGTGGCTAACATTAGCTTTGATGTTCGCAGTAGTGGGAGCAGTAGCACTAGCAGTAGTAATGTGGCTAACATAAGCTTTGATGGTAGCAGTATTAGCAGTCGTAATGGGACTAATATTAGCTTTGATGTTGGTAGTAGTAGCAGTAGTTATGGGGCTAACATTAGCTTGTATGGTATTAGCATTAGCAGTAGTAATGTGGCTAACGTTAGCTTTGATGGCAGTCGTAGTCCATCACCTTAGTTTGTAGCCTGTAATCAGAGTTCTATGTTTGAAAACCCTAGCTTAGCATTCTTAGCGCGCTAGCCTTTGATAAGTAGCTACACTGAACAGACGTGTTTTATAGTTTGATGCTGCTGAGTTCATCAACACAACTGTCACAGTTAGCGGTTAGCCAGCAGGGAGGCGCGCTTGTTTTATGGACCCTCATCACGTCGTGGGCTAGCTTGGTTTGATTGGAGTCATCTGAGGCTCGAAGGACAAGGAAGTAAACAAGACGTCCTTAAAACGTCCTCAGACGTCTGCCGTGGTGCAGCAGGAACCCAGAGCGAGTGTTTCCTGACCCTGGAGATGAATCTGAGACGACGCCAAGGATGAAACAGGAACTAGAACTCCAAATGCACTCAGTAATTAGCATTTATATCAGTTTGTTTGTGTTTGTTTTGTTTTTTTTGTTAAATTCAGTTTTTCTGCACACGATTACACCAGAACCTCACCGTAGCCTTTTCTGCAACATGAAACGTGAAACATATTCTTTAATGGTTTTCTTTACTCACCTGCAGGGATTCAATTTTTTTGCCGCTCTGTTGCCATGGCAGCGGAGGACGGCGAGGTCGCCATATTCAAATGAAGCCACGTGTAGAAAACAAAAACAAACAAGCATCGATCCCACAAACACGAGCCCATGTCGGTAAACGGCTTCCCGTCAGGTGATCCGACCCCACGGAGGGCCGGCACTAATTAGAGCAAAGGTCAGACGAGACACGGCGGCTAACGAGCTGCACAGGTGAGTCTGAGGCAGGAAGACCAGGAAGGTCTCAGCAGACCGCCCTCAGGTCGGCTGCTCCGGACATTAGAGTCCAGCTCGTCCTTCCTGCGGGACATTTCCAAGTCGGGCTTCGAGTCCACGTCGCTCAGAGACGATGAAAGCTCGTCTGAGTCCAGAGAGGAGATCGTAACGTGATACGGCGGCGAAATAAAGAACAGCAGCAGTCAGAGAGAGCTCATAGAGCCGGGAGACAAAAAGTAGAGTCCAGCGGGTCGGAGTCCAGCGGGTCGGAGTCCAGCGGGTCAGAGTCCAGCGGATCTGAGTCCAGCGGGTCGGACACAGTCTGAGTGGTTTTGGATGCAGTTTGAGTCATTCTGGGAGAATTTTAGGTGTTTTGAGTCATTTTGGCCACATTTCAGTCACTTTGAACAGGTTTAACGTGGTTTCAGACAAGTTTGTGGCCTCTTGGACATATTTTAAATAGTTTTGTGTCAATGTTTTGAGTCCTTCTGGGCAGTGTTTAGGTCATTGTGGATGTGTTTTTTGGATGCAGAGTAGTTTTTGACATTTCTTCAAGTCATTTTAGATCATTTTTAGGTGTTACGGTTTTGGACAGTTCATCAGAGTGTCAGAGTCCAGAGTGTTGGGACACGTTCTCAATCGTTTTGGATGAAGTTTGAGTCGTTTTGGACACATTTTAGTCACTTTGAACAAGTTTTGCTTCATTTTGGACAACGTTTGTCCTTTTGAACAGTTTTCAAGTAATTTTTGACAGATTTCACATCATCTTGGATATGTTTTGCTGTATTTTGAGATACGTTTGTGCCATTTTGCATGCATTTAGATGAATTTTGGAGAAATGTTTTGTGATTTTAGATCATGTTTGTCCTACTGAACAGGTTTCAAGTTATTTAGGACATACTTTGCATAATTTTGAGACAAGCTTCTGCCATTTTGGATGCATTTGGATTCATTTTGGACGAGTTTTGCATCATCTTGAGCAGGTTTAATGACTTTAACACATTTAGCATCATCTTCAGCAGGTTTTATGACTTTTTAAACACATTTAGCATCATCTTGAGCAGGTTTTATGACTTTGTTAACACATTTAGCATCGTCTTGAGCAGGTTTTCTGACTTTGTTAACACATTTAGCATCGTCTTGAGCAGGTTTAATGACTTTAACACATTTAGCATCGTCTTGGGCAGGTTTTGGGTCAGTCTACAGTCCCTGCGGTTGGTTATCGTACGTGTCAGCAGCATCACGTCTTCAGTCAAACATCCGTGCAGGAGACGCCGTAGCGAAGCGGCTAAACCCCGGCGTTGTTGCGGTTTTGCGCTGAGCAGGTGTAATGAAACGAGCGCGCCTCCACATCCATCACGCTCAGCTCAGATGTGCTTTCGCTGCCGGTAATATTCACCTTAACAGCCTCATTTTGTCGCCGTCTCACTCTTCACATCTCATTTTTCCTGATCTGCCTGCAGGCTTTCCTTCATCCGTGTTTTCTTTAAAGGCACCGACGTTTATTTGTGGCGTCTGGTTTTTTTATTTCCTCCTGAAGTGTGATTACTTCTAAACACGAACAGACGACTTCGCTCTTTATGACTTTATGCTCATTTTATGGTTTGTTCCTGCGTCTGACTGTCAGTAAACACAGATTTAGTCGCCTGGAAACCACGTTTTTCCAACTTCATTGTGGATCTGAAGGAAAATCCTCAACGTTTCAGCTCCTCGTCTGTGGACGCCAATATCTACACGTTTATGCAACTTTAAGTCTCTTTGGACAGATTTCACTTCAGGTTTTAGGTCATTTTAGACCATCGTTAAGTGATTTTGAGCTACTTTCAGTCATTTTGAACCAGATTTGAGACATTCTGGACAAATCTGCCATCTTTCTAGACATGTTTCGAGTCATTTTGGACAGTTTTGGAGACCTTTTGGACACATTTCAAGTCATTTTGGATCAGTTTGAAATCACGCTGGAGTGGTTTTGGGTATTTTTGAGTCATCCTCTGCATGTTTTTATCATTTTGGAGTTTGCATTTTGAAGTTTTGAGTTGTTTTGAAGAAATTTCAGGTCATTTTTGACGATTATTTAGTAATTTTGAGCTTGTTTGAGACATTCTGAAAAAGTTTGGCATAATTTTCAGACTAGTTTTAAGTCAACCTGGACGTGTATTAAGTCGTCTTGAACACATTTTATGTCATATTGGATGGATTTCAAGTTATTTTGCTGATTTTTGAGCCATTATGGACGATTTTTGAGGCATTTTGG